AATATTGAGTATTAATATTGAATATTATTACATAAACAATTTGAGTAATAACCAATAATTGTTTAAATCAGTGTTATTCTTTAAATTAAATTAAATTTTAATTGTAAAATCTTTTAAGGGCAGTGTTGAGCACAAAATACTAAATTAATTCTGTTTACTCTCATAAGGACCAAAGTCTGAATTGTTGTTGTAATTAATTAAATCCCAACAATAAAATTGATTAACTTATGTGGAAAAACAGAGTGGCCTATCTACATGTCAGTGAGCCTCTAAATAGTTTATTTATTGTTGTAGCAAAGTTTCTTTGTTTCTGCAATCATCCAATGTCAGGTTTGAGGAGTGTGTGATAAGAAGAACAGGAAAACTTTTTTTTTTCCCTTTAACTGTCCAACAAATTCAGGAAGCAGGCTGATTGTTGGGTGGCATAAAAGGTCAACTTAGACATTTAACTTTAGAGGTCTCGATAAACACCCAGTAATTTGACCACGATTGATTGGCAAAAATAATCACCGACATGGTAATCTTAGTTAACTCCTGACTAGTATGATGAGATGAGGGGCATACATGTTAACAAATGTATATATAAATATATAAACATTTTCACTGCATCGCCAGTCAATATGGTTAATACATACTGTGACTTATGTAACATGTATAATTTGAAAATAAATGTAATTAACATTTTCCACATTTTACAACTAAAGCTAGGTCATAAAAACAACAACGCTACATTAGTTCATCCAATATATTATATTGTAAAATGTGAGAAAATCTCTATGTACAAAGTCAATTTGTGAAGTTAATATTAAAAGAAATTACTGCAGCCCCTGTCAAGTTGAATCTGAATATATACCTGTGATCAACTATTCTTTATACCTGAGGTAGCCCGTCATCACATGGACCTCAGTTCAGGGCCATTATCATTAACACCTAGTCTGGTAGTTCTGTTCAACAGTACCAATCATCAATCATCTGTATACGTACTTGCTGCGGCTATGAGGAGTTCCAGGGGCTTTTCCGAAGTGTCTGTACACCTCTCTGCCTTTGCGGGGTCCTGGAGATTTAAGGACAAAATGACAACTTATAAATAACCAAAGAGTGAATTTTACTAAGACATTGAAATACAAGACATATTTTCAGTATATTATACTTTAAACAAGACAATAAAACACAAACCTTTAGTTCTGTCATTGACTTTAAAACACAAACCTTTAGTTCTGTCATTACAATAATCAAGTTTATGTCTAACTTTGTCACCCTATTTGAACCCTTATGTTGATTTAAACAGCACAGTATGAATATGTATGCCTGGTGGTGTAAAATAATAAAAGTATAAAGAATTTACCTGATAGCAGCACTGTACCCTGTCCCTTGGGAGAAGCCATAGCCAGCTGGTCAAAGGTCATCACCTTACCACCTGCTTTCAGGATTCTTCTGCGGGCTCCGTCGGTCACCCTCAGGGCACAAATCTGTAGGATAGCACATAGACTATGAGAACTTTGGCAAAGATTATTATTTGCATTGTACAGTGCAGAATGCTTTATATAGTATGACAACATGACGTTGACACAGAACCAGCAATGTAGAAATCTACAAACAGTAAAGACAACAGTGCACTTTCATTTCAACATATTTACAAGAATTAAACCTCAGCCTTTGTGACAGGATAATACAAACCCAAATATGGATGTCAACAATATCAAC